TCCATTGAAGATTGGAAATACCTTTCCATTCTTACAAAACAACATTTGCAAGATTGTAAATAAATAAGGAAAAAATACATTTTCTGGGAAATCCTCTTTTAAACTATAAAATATTTTAGTTAAAATATCAATGATGGATTTTTGCTTAACTATGTTTGCAATTATATGATATTTTATTATGTTATTATATCATAACGAGCAAAGTTAAGTTAAACCTTCTTTAAAGCGTCATTTGTTAGTATTATTCAAATAATGATGAAGACATTTAATCTGATAAGTTTGATTAAGTCTATATTGTGGAAATTTCTAGTAGCTTGAAAGAAATTATCTCCATAGCTTTAGAAGTAATATTAGTTAACAGATAATGTTCATTATCAAAGATATTATTTGTAAGATAGAAGTACAATAAAATAACATATATTGTGTTGAAATTAATTAATCAATTAGTAGAATTAATTCGAGGAGGAAAATACTTTCGTATTCGGAATTGATTCGAGAAAGAAAATACTTTTGTAATCGAAGATAATATTCACGTTTTGCATATGTAAAGAAAGAATTTCAAGGATGGAAAAACAGTCAGTGATAGATGAAAGTGTTTGTTTCAAGCAAACAAGAATGCATCATTTTCCCGTTCCCAATCCTTTACTTCTTTTGTCATCCGCATATAATTCTTATCACGCTTCATTGAAATTTAGGTCATTGAACGGTAAGGATTGGTTCATTTCTTTTTTCCTGATTTGACAATCTTTTGATGTACGAATTTTGTAATTCAGGAAAAAAAATAATGATGCTCTTTGCACTTTATTAGCATCGTAATAAGTTGGAAAGATGGATTACGAAGAGTTATGATAATTCTTAGTACATTTTAATTTTAAATTTTGAAATGTTCGTATGTAAGGCTCACTCGAAAACTTCTAAATTTGTAGGATTTTTTTTTTTCAAATTAAACTGAATGACTTTAATCTGTAATCAAGATTTAATTTTAATATCTTGATAGTAATAATAAATATTTACAGCGACAAAAATTTAATGTTTAGTAATCTAACAAATTATTCTGAAAAATCTACCTTTACCTTCCACTCTCTCTCTCATTTATTTTAAATAATAAAACAAATCATTTATTTTAACCTCATTCATCTTTCCTTAATATTTGCTACTCTTTTCTGAAAAGCGAATTACGATATTTAAAATATTTGTATTGCTATTCCAATGAATAACCATGTCCAATCATTTGTAGCAAATTACGTTAATGCATATTCAAAATTATTTAACTTTCATTGGTAGCAATGAAACAAATTTATCGATGTCATTAATGTCAAAGGTACTCACTGTGATGGATTTATAATCAGATTGTAAAAGTGAAATAATTCCAGATCGGTAGCCCTGCTGCTTGTATGGAAGAAGTCGATGGAACATATGTTTTTAGAAAAGTGAAATAAATGTGCCCACTGGACCATTTCATGATTTATGAGCCATTTTCTGTTGCTGCTCAATTCTTTTCACTTCAATTTCACTCATTTTCGATGTTCCTCTCTTTTAATCGTGAACTTTCACATTATTCGTTATATTTATGTTCATTCGAAAAAAAATTTTGAAATTAATGATTTAGAAAGCTTCTATTAATTCTATAATTTACTGAATACCTGAGAGGAATAACTAACATATGCTAAATTTACTTTTTCCTTCATCCTTCTAATCAATGATTTCGTACTGTACATAACTATAAATTTACAAAATTTCAAAAAAATGGTTGAGTTTTGATGAGAGAAATGTATTCAAGTATTTCATCATTTTGTGGGGAAGAATTTTTCAAATTTAGTTAACTTTTTCGCAGAAAGTACTTTGAATGTTACACGTCATGTGATGAAGTTATGTAAACACAGGAAGATGAGATGATCGCTGTCTCATATCACTCATAAGTTTGTTAGGTATTTCATATCATCAGACGAATCATTTTCTCGTTTTCGCATAAAGATAAAATCCAACTATTAACCCTTATCAGTTATAGAAATGAGATAAGCGTCCTTCTATCAATTTATCGATAGCTGTTTTATATTTAATATTTAAATTTCAGATCATCAAGCACTATTACCATTACATCGTTATCATTATTATCATCCCAACACATTTATTTCAATAAATATGCTATCGAATAATACTTTCTGCTGAAAATTCTCCAACTGACGATTTATTTTTCTTGGACAAAAATAGCATTGAGAGAGAGAGAGATAAATGATAAGTGAAAAAGAAAGATACGGCGGATTTGGTGAAACTTTTGCTCGAACAATCACCACAAAAGAGCAGTCAGGATCAAAACGGACACTTTTTTATCCATTGGAAAGCAGTTATCCGACCAATATCCATCAAAAATCAGGCCATCATTTCGTTTCTAAAAGTCCGCAACTTTCCATCGGTAAGATTTCAATAATTTCTATGCATTCCTCATGGAACAACTGCTTTTGAATTAGAAAAATTTTGTTCCTTTTACATTTTCTTTTACAACTATATCGGATGCCATTAAATAAAGGTCAGGTATCATAAATATGGATCAGCTAGATCAGGACTGCTGGTATAAATCAATTAGGTGAGGTACCGCTAAATATGGATCAGTTAGACCAAGTACCACTAAATATAAATCCTGTAAGAATGAAGCATATCAGTTATTGCCTTCAAAAGGATATAAAAGGAAAAAAGTTAATAGTACACGTAAATTATGTGCTGACATCGTTATATTTTAAGTATATTTATGTCAAGCAAATGAGCACTCGAACATATAATGATTTCTGATTATGGCGTAAATTCAATCACAAAATTACCGGTCAAAGTGCAAAATTTTTCAAAATAATATCGAATTTCGTAAAGTATTTTATTGATAGCTGAAATAGTTTAAAATGAAAAGCAAGCCGTAATCTTTCGAGCTCATTGAGGTTGATTATATGATTAGACAGACTTGTAGAGAAACTGATGTTTCACCATTATCAGTTCGTAATTAATTGTTGATGTTGAAATTCGTAAAGAAAAAAGAGAACATTTCTGGAAATAAATAATTGGAAATTACTGAATTGATATAATTCATGACATTTCAGCAAATTTTTATTAATTCATCCAAATATTTACAAAATTTATAACATTTTTCTACTCCTTTCTGCTGCCATTTTATAGCTGGAAGTGGTATTTTTTCATAAAGTTAATCTCCTTAAAGAGAGAGAGAGAGAGAGAGAGACAGAGAGAAAAAAGAGAGATATTTGTGCAGTAATGAAAACTCAGAGAAGGATTTATATTTGCGCAAACTGTTTGATTCATTCATCCGATATATGACATTTTCTAATAGCAAATATTCCCATACAGAAGAAAACAACGAAAAAGAAAGGAAAGAAAAAACTTTCTTATTAGTAGAGCAAATTGAATTGAATTCATTCCTTCTCCATCTCGAAATCCATTTTAGCACTTCCATTAATATCTTTTATGTTTCTATCGAAAGAGGCAATAGAAAATTTCATTTCGAATTAAATTCATTATTAGGCGTTCATTTTACAATTATTGCAAATTTAAATTGACCTAAACATATCTTTCGATTTGAACTGGAAAGGTTACATTTTCCTATTCATTACATAGAATTACATTATGGTGATATCTCCATTATCAATGATATCGAGAAGTGAAACAAAATCATTTAATTTCTGATTGTTTCTTTGTTTCTCACTTCTTTGGCTAATCAAATGAATGTTCCGTAATAAGCAGTTAAAATAATGGACGGAGTGGAGAAAAATGGTAACGATGCATTTATGATTTTATCAGCGAAGAAGCGTTTTGTTTCAATCTTTGACCAATCCTTTGATCGTTAATCGAATTGATGAACAATTTTCTTTTTTTTTAATCACATATAAAATTTATATAATTGAAAATCAAATTCACATATTTAGTTTATAAAAGAGAATTTAGACAAAAATTGAGTTTGATCTTCCGGTAGAATTTTTTTTTTGATTGACGTTTTCCCAACATTTCGTTCATTTCGATCATATATGATCTTTTCATATACAATGCTGTGTTCTGTTGTTGAGATTGAATCATTTCGAAGCAACCTCAAAAGCCATAATGGGTGAAAGAGTCATCCTAACGAAGGCCATTTTAGGTCCGCTCAGCAATTCGATATGTAATAAAACTTCCTCGTCATGTTTTTTTCCTATCTCAATTTGTTTAGGGATGGTTGAATTACCACATTAAATTTCTTACAATTTAATCAATTTTTTGAAAAAATGGCACCAAACCAACGATTCATTAAATAGTTCAATTTTTCATTTATATAATTTCAAATCACACAATCTTCTTTTTCCTTCTCCTTTGCTATTAATTGGCTTGCGAAAAGTAAACGAAACATGTCCAAAAAGACGATTTTTCTCTCTCATCTCATAGAATTTGTTTGATTAACGAATGAAATTTCCATAAGCTTTTTTCTCTCCTTCAAATGCGACAGAAATTTGACGATCAACGGGCTTGCAACATTAGTTTTTTTGCCGCATTTTTATATTTGCAATTTAACTTGCTGCACTTTATGAATTTATAAAATTGTTCGACACATTTCAGTCAATACTTAAACATATAAAAAAAATCTCTGAATCTATAAAATTATTATTAGGACAGTAAATGATGAATCATTGCTTTATTCAAACAAAAATGTAATTTCAAAATGAGTCAAACAATTCATAAAGTGCTCGCTCTTTGCTATCATTTTTACGGAAGAGAAAAAAAGCGGATGAATTTCCATCGCTTTTTTGTAATCTCTTAGATTTGCGACACATTATGGGTTTTGATTGAGATTTAATTTGTGAAAAGTATGTTTGATCAGAAAACTTTCAAATTTTTTCATTCTCCATTAAAATTTATTTTCGACTATACAAGAAATTATTTTATATTTGTTACATATGCTTAAGTGTTAAGTGAAATGTGTCGGAAAAGAACAGTGCTGACCAAAGGAGGCATCGATTGATCAATTCTCAGAAATGGCTAACAGAGACTGGTACTTCATCAGTCCTGAAGGACCACTTCTTTTTTTTGCATTCACTTCCCTCTTCCTTTGTTTCATCCTTCTTCAAAGAATTAAGCAAACAAATCTCAGCAAAATACAACATGTCTCTTTTTCTCTCAGACATAAGTTTATAGGGAACTGTTAAAATTCAACTTTTTAACGAAATTAATTACAGCTCTCGAACTTGATGAGGATTTATTAATTAGTGAGCAAGAATTGTTGCCACTTAATGAGTTACGGTGTAGTGATGAAGAAGCAAGCAGTTCATCAGCATTTTCCATCGCAACAACAACTAATTCAGGCCCTTCAATTGTCACCTCAACAAATGTATCAACTGAGTAAGTTAATACTCCCGAGATTTTTTTGAATGATGAGGTCAATGATTTAAATGTAATAAAATCTTGATTAGAGTTGAAAACAAAGATGTTATTTTTATCTTTAGATTAATATTGAATTAAATTGCAAGTTGTCTTTTTTATCAGATAAGGATTACAGCAGGTATGAATAATAAGGTTAAAAAAAATGAGAAGACACTATTGGCTGCTAACTTCCCCAAATTAATTTTGATAATACATAATAATGATTTTTTCGGAAATAATGATTTTCGGAAAAAACAAAAACTCTTCGTGATAACATTTTAAATTTTAAATCAAAACGTCCAACCGTTATTATTTTTATCAGATATAAATTACTTTTTAAATATGTCCCTATTTTTTTTTTTCAAAAAACAAAAAACATTCAGATGGATGACCAATTGAGCACGAAAAACGGATTCAGAAATCGCTTTTTTTTTCATTTAGAAAAACATGAAAATTCATAGAAGTAATGAATTGCTAACATTAGAAGCAGTTGCAGAAAATATCATTTTTTTCATTCGTTTTTTTTTTTTGTTATTGTTGAAAGGAAGTGATTTTGTTGAGGAGAGAAAGATTGGGCTATGTTAGCAATTGTTTTGCAGAGGAATGAGCAGCGCTGAACTGATTCCTTGTCTTTCCGTCGGTCCCTATCATCAACGTCCAACGCCTATTCTTACAGACAATCCTTTTGTCGGCAGTAAGTTTATTATTGCATTTTTTTACGTATACACATACACATTTGCAATTTGAAAATAAAAAATAAGAAAAAACCTATAAAAATTCCACCAGATGGCTAATATATGAAAAAAAAACGGATAAGATAGCAGTGAATTTATTCAGCAATAATTTCGTTCAGTAAAATTCGAATTTTATTGAATATTTGCTCTCTTCAAAATATATGAATATTTTTTATTTGTTTGTTTATTTTCTTTAGTCATTTAGTTGAAGATGAAATTCAACAACTTCGTTATTTGAAATTTCTTTGAAGTAATTACTTGAAAGAAAGATTATTATCATTGTTATAAGCTGAAAGTTTGAATTGAAGAAATTAACCGAAGATTGAAGGGAGAAGTTAAAGACCATTTAATTGCAGATTATTATTGGTTTAAAGCTAAAGAATTATTCTAAGTTCCATTATCCGATGATACATCGGATTGGTCATTATATGATTCGTTTAAAGTTGAATCTAAACCGTATTAAATAAACGAATGGTAATTTAAAAGTTCAATAATTGCATTTTATCAAATTATACTCATTCTTTTTACTTTTTCTGACTGCAAAAGAAAAGATGAAAGCGCGAACATCGTTTGATCGTTTAATTTTTATGAGTGTATAATTTTGAGGTCATATAGTTTTGATTGATTAGTGGTGTAAGGTGTTGTTGTGGAAGGATATCATTTATTATAACCCAATAATTTGGAATAAACTTCCGCTCCGTTGCATTCTCACTGATTTAGACACCGATCAACATATTTTCGCCTCAACTTCAACCCTTAACTTTCCCATTCCTCACTTACATATGTTTCATTTTCTCCTATTTCATCATTGTATTGAAGACGGATCAGATTACTGTAACAATTTCTTTTACAGTCAATTTGACACCTTATTGTTAAACTTTATTAAACCTTTGAAATAGACAGACAAATGAATTGAGTAAACAAGTTTTGCAATAGTTGATAAATAGTTTTTTCATCTAGGTGTATCAATTGAAATTATTGAGTAATTATTAGTATTGAATTATTGAAATGGCCAGCATGTTTAAGTTAATAATTTGTGGATCTCTTTCTTTTTAATTTCCAAGCAAATATTTTTTAAAAAGATAAATTTTACTGAATCAATTTTTCATTTCACTTTGTTGTTATAAGAAAAAATATTTTTTTAAGTGCTACAGTTGGAAACAAAAAATTTGCTATCGAATTCGAAAAGCATTTCACTTAATTACGTTTTTTTTTTGTTAGCAATGAAAAAATACAAAAATTCTTTACAATGAATAAAAATTTCCTGAACTTTTTCTCGTCGATTTGTTGAATTAAGAATTTGGCTATCTCACATACCAATACACACAAATGGTCATAAATTTCAGGCCACTGAAATGTGCTGGCTAATTTAAAGTACTAGGGGACAGAGCAACTGATGGGATGTTACTGAAAGTAATGCTAATTGCGTTTAATTCCTAACTTGCAAATCGACTTACTCTACCAATGTTAGCCTTTTGCTCCATCATAGTTTCTCTTCAACTTGCCTAACGAACTCCTCTTTAGCTGTCTTTAACCATTATTCTCTCCCCATTTCTTATGCTAATTTGATTATGATCTCTCTTTTCCAGCCTAGTGCTAGGATACTATTTCAAACTGATATGAACTGGCGAGTAATTCAATTTATTCATTCATTCAAACCACACTTATGAAGATGCTTAATGAACTCTCTCAATAAATAATTCATAAATCGCTGGCTCAGGAATGCATAACAAGCCAAGTTAATTTATAGTCTTTCTATCTCTTTACTAACTTCTTCCTTAAAAAGCAACTTATGAATGCATTCCTTATTGTTGTCGTTCTTTTCGTGAAAGATTTTTTCCTGAAACTTTTCTTGTGAAATTAATAAGTGAAAAAAAAAGATTGAATTATTATCAATTATAGCATTTCATAATTGTAACCAGAAAATAGAATTCATAACTTTTTGGCTGAAAGCAGTTGGTTTTACTTTTTCTTCAATATATTCGTCATAATGTTAGACTTTCCATAATTTATATAATCTCTCGCTAAAATCAATATTTAAAAACCGAACATTTTTCAAAAAGCAAGCGTAGGCGTTGAAAAACAGAAGAGAATATAAGCATAATTTGACTCGTAGTTTACAGCGCGATGAAATGAATAAGCTTTAAGGCTATTTCTCAGGCTGATACTGTATCAGTGCTTCAGCTATCTTAGCAAGCTGTTTGCAAAAAAAGGCAGAAAAGGAAGGAAGCAAACAAACAGACTGCAGAAGAAAGGTCGACAATGTCGAGGAGCGGCGATCGAAATCATCTCCGCCCACACCGATCGAACTCGATGGGATGAATGATAGCAATGCCAACGGTGGGCTATTTCGTTGTTCAACAATTCTGCTTAATGCAGTTTGGGTATCGCAACTGATACGATCCGGTCAGGTTCGAGCTCGAAGTTAAGAATCATTCGTGTGGACATTATCGCAGATCATAACACTCTTCTACTTATCGATGCTTCCATCTCTTCAACGATCTGTCCCATTTTTCATTTAGAAATGCAAGAGCAGAGCGAACAATTACCGTCTAACTCTGTTGCCATGCTCGGTTGGTGATTGTTAATGATTTAATTATTATTTTATGCTACTGGTTCAAATGTGAATCGCTGCTATATTTCTGTGTGTGAAAAAAGATATAAAGAAGCTTTTACTAATTATGAATTTTTGGTTTTATAATATCCATTACTTGTTACGTCATTATCAGCGGATGTTCTTTTGTGAAGGTTAAATTAAAATAGCCTTACCGCATTTCATACCATTTGATTCTTTTTAGGTCAGCTGCTTGATGTAATTCTGACTGTCTAATCAAATAATTTAACTTAAATGAATAATGTTTGATCAGAGAATGCTTTAAGAAACCTTTGGTGAAAATTAGGAAGAGAGAGGAAATTTAATGTATTTCAATATCAAATAGTAAATTTCAATAGAAATTATAATTATTCCCTGTGCTCAGTTTCTTATTGATTGTCAATTTCCCGGAATGATTATTCATTGAAAATTTTTGAATAAGGATTTTTTGTTATATCAATATTAGTATATATATATATATGCTCAAAGAAAAAAAAATTTCCAAATTTTATGCTTGGCTAAATTCTTACATTTTCATAAAGATATCGTAACCATTTCAGTGATTAGATTTATTCAGCTATGTGATATTGATACGTAAATTTGATTCGATGCTATTTTTCATGACGTATTTTGACTTCCAATCTCTTTCGTGAATATTTATTTCATACTTCACATTAATTCAATTTTATATTCCATATTTTTCATTTTTTTCCAATATATTTCATATATTTTTAAATATTCATTTAAACGTTCACTCTATTTTGCCCATTTTTTTCATCAAAATATGTGTTAAATTATATGAAATATTAATATAAATAAGAGGATTTGAGTGTTAGTTAGTAAAGAAAGACGAAAGTTTAGCTAAAATGAGAAAACATTCTGACAATTCCCTTTTCATAGAATTTTTAGAGATGCAATCATTCTAACATGTGGCACAAAATGTGTCTGAAATTATATTTTTGAACCACTTTCATCCGTGATACAGACAGTTTATTTTTTTCTAATTAAAACTTTTGCACTGACAGTTTGTCGAATCCAAAAATATACATAGCGAAATATGAAATGCCGGAGGATATGTCCTTTACTGCTGATAGTTGTTTTTAGCAACGTTTTAAATGTTCTTCAGATATGGAGGGAATTTTTTTTTGCATAAACTGTTGAAAATAGGATGGTATTTTCCAAAGTGTAATATTTCGGAAATTAATTAACTATTAATTAATTTTGATTGATTGATTCAGATTATTAGTTGTTTAAATTAATTAATTGTTTAAATTAATTTATTCATATAGTGAAGACGTTTTTACGTCAATTTCGGAATAATAATTTTTAGAATTTAAAAATTGGTATATCAAATAGACGTTTTATATTTGATCACTGGCTAATTTTTCCTTGTTCAAATAGCCAGACCGCGATTTCGCAGAATTAAGCGTATGAAATATTTTACTCATATGAGGAGAACTACATAAACATTCAGATCTAGCTGTTTGAAAGGGGCTGAAAATTACTTTCAAGCGAGATTTCTTAGATATGTTTGCGGTAAAGATTTGAAAGTTTTATTTAAAGTTTGATTTGCAAATCCGATTTGTCAACGGTTTTATTCTCGACATTTATTAGCATTAAATTTTGCTGAACAATTTTTGCTTCAAACAGTTTCGCCTTTTGCCTCTCTTTTGAACAATAAATTAAATTTATTTTGAGAAAATATTAATATTTCATTCTAGATTATCACATCTTACACATTTACATTAATTCTTTAGATATTCTCACTTACCTTATTTGCACTGCAAATGTCAAACATCTTTTGTAACATATGGGAAGATATAGTGATATATTTTATCAATATCATCTGATAACTGTCGAGAATTAATCTAGATGATTTAAATATGTGAAATATTAATTAAGATGTTAGTATTCCTCAATGATGTTCGTTCTCTGCTCCTCGTATTTCATTTTTATTCTACATAATTGCTAAATTTTCAAAATGGGTCAATGATCTCCTACTTCGATTGATATCATTACTTCATTTTACCTTTTGTTTCAATGAAATACAGCATTTAAAGCATTCGAAGCAAAAAGTTGACATTATATGTTACTTCATGTTGCAGTAATTATTTAATATTTACTGCTAACAATCAATAAATGCTAAATTTTATTTTTTTGCGGAAAAGTTGGAAATCCCAAAGTAATTAATTTGATTTATCGTTATATTGGAAGAATAATTCGTGTTTAGGACGACTTGTTCAGATATCAGATAGCAAAGATATCAGATAGTTATTGATCTATCTGATTCCATATTAGCATATATTTCGAACACTGTTCAATAAATTGCGCATATTTAAATTAGAGATTTTAATTTCTGTTAATTCAAATTAAATCAATTCAATTAATATTGCTGAATGTTTATAGGTTTCCTCAATGTTCCACCTCCAAATTGTCCGCCGTCTTCAACATCTACCGAAATGAGAGGTCCACCACCAAAACGTGATCCGCCGATTCCACCGTCAGCAGATGATGAAGCTGACACAGCATATATTATAGATGATTCACAGTATGATGAACCAGGGATGCCTTCAGAAATAAAAGAATGCTACAAAGGTTACTTTCTGACCTTTACAGATAGGATAAATATCATTCTGTTGGTAGAATGTCTGTGATGAATGAATAATTGTAATTTTTTGATTTCTTTTGCAAATTTAATTTCTATTTAATTGTTGTCCGTTCACAATGACATTTTTTATATGGTATAGTTGAAACTTTTTTAACAACATAATTGTTAATTTATCTTAGCATCAAGTTTCTATTGTTCAAAATAAAAAAAATAAAAATTAAAAAAAAACAATAAATAAGACGTGTTATTTCTTAGGACCAGTTTCATCAAGGCGACGTTCTAAATTGCTAAATAATAATTATGAAATATCAACATCACAACAGGTACGATATACTCTTCGAAATTGTTTCATTAATTATTTCACTTAACGGTTGAGTGAATCATAACCAACCACACAATCATTTCCAATTGAATAAAATTTACAAAACCAACCATACAATCATTTCCAATTGAATAAACAAAAAAGATAAAGTAAATAAACTGTTATGTATAATATTTACTAACATCATTTATATTGAATGATCAAAAAATGATTCTGAAAAAATTTTAAATTTTTTTTTTAAACACATAGCAGAATGTTTTGTTTAATTTACAATCACATATTACAGATACGTACGACGTTTACTCCTACCAGTCGTAATGCACGCTCAGGCCAACAAAATACAGAAATTAGTTCATCATGGGACGATGAAACCAGACAAATGTTACTTCAGCATCCAGAAACTGGCACCTATTATATTCCAACCAGTTCCGGTAGACCTTTTATTTTGTAATCGTCTTATTTTGGAAACAGTAACTGTGTCATTCTGAATGAACTTTTAAATTGGATTAGTGGAAAATAGTCGATTTTACAGCTTTCTTCTCTCATTTAAATGTCAATAAAAGCGATCTGATGAGAAAATTTGAAATTTTTTTGAAATCATGCAAATTTCTGGGGGGAAAACTTCACTTTAATATTTGAATTGAAATAGTTAAGTTAATGATTAGAGAATGGAGAAGTTAAATTGAAAATGCTAAAATGATTTTCAAATTTTTAACGTTTAGATTTGTAACCTTTCTTTCATTTTATTATATCTTCAGATTAAAATGATCTTTATGAAGAGAAATATAAGAGGGAAAAGCTAAAAGCTCTTATAATCTTCTTGTATTGCTTTTTGATCATCCGACAGAGGTTAAATTTGTTTTTTGGCTTAACTCTTCCACAAACACTCTTACTTGACATATTGATTGATTCATATGAAGTGAGAAAGGGGAAGAAAAAAAAATATGCAAATTTTCATTGTACTTAATCTTCAAAGGATTGATGAAAGTTTTATTGTTCGAAAAATTAATGAAATACTTTTGAATAATAATATGTTTTGAAAAGAGACTTCTTAAACTTAGTAGTGAGTAAATGTAGATGGAATGAAATAAAGTTAGATGAGATCGTTTTACTTGAGCGGACATTTTATGCTTACCATATGCTCACTAAGTACTTATGCAAGCAGCTGTTTCAATCGAGTAAATACTTTTTAGAGGATACTTATGTGACATATCATATTTCCGTTACTTGTGCTATCACAGTAAAGATCTATGTAAAATCAAAAATATGACAAATCATTTGATTTAAATTGAACGAAATAATTTGAAATAATTTGAAAAAAAAAGCTAATCCTAGAAGAAATTAGGCCTGAAATGGAAAATTTAAGAAACGAAATAACATTATTAAGTCAGGTGAAAAACAGTGATTTATTTGATAATAAGCAGATATTATTGTAGATTATTGTCAAAAAACTAATCAATTGGAACTCCTTATCAAAATAATCAATAAATTATCCTTGAATAGTTTTGTTTAGCAATAATATATGAAAAGATGGTGACGTTGCAATAAAAGAAGGGAAAGGACATGGAAGGCGGTATGATACAAAGAAATGTTAACCTTTGGAATGTGAAAATAAGATATTATTATTATACTCATTGAGTTTATTGGTTGATGAGATATTTTGGAGAGAAAGTTGAGGAAAGGTTAGAATGAAATGGTCAGCTGATGACCTTATTCACTAATTGCTTCCCATTGACACATTTCATCCATTTGCAACAACACATATCATTGGATTATGCATTATGAGGACTTTTCATCATTTTTCATTATTTCTTCAATTACTACTATTAAATAAATTGGAAAGTGTAATCTGTAAATGCAAACAAATTTGCTTGCATTTTTTAATTTGCGCTATTTAAAAAAAATTGAGAGTTGTCTGATCAACAGTTAATCAAGTTCTAAAAAAAAACGAACTGAATGGGCAGTTTAAAAAATTGCTATAGGATTATAACTATATCTTTTCCTTATTAAATTTACAATTTATATTATTTTGGTGAAGTAAAACAAATTATAAAAGCATAGAATATTACTTTTCAGGTCATACAACAGCATCGTCTTTATCACCACACAGCCGTTTTTATGAAAAGTAAGTAATAAAAGATATTTCAATGATAATTTTACATCGATATTGCATGAATCATTTCACATAACTTCTGAAGATTCAGATTCCGAATACTTAAACGGCGATTTTTTTTTATTGATCGATTTTTAGAAAATACCTTCATTTTACCTTTTTTTTTTTAACATGCAGCATTTAAAAGGAACAGTTTGTCGCTGTTTCCTTCAAAAATGTAGGAATAGTCTCGTACAACAGGTG